GGTCTGCGGACTACGATTTATAAGAGGGACCCGAGTAAACAGTACGGCTTAAAGATGAAGACCTCTCGTACATTCTTCAGCGAGGTTGAGCGACGTTTCGATGCCATGCCCTTCACTCTCAGGTGGGAACACCACACTTTACTTGTAGCCAGCTGACAGCGAGTTGGGTGCTAACAGCCATTTTTCATTCAGAGCTTTTGAGGATGAGGCCAAAGCCCGACTCGGCGTGGTGGAGTGTGCCAAACATGAGTTGCTACAGCCCTTCAGTGTGCTGCATGAGAAAGAGGGTGAGCGTCTTGGCTCTCTGCTAGACACGTTTGAATTATTCACAAGCTGTTAACCCTACGCCTGTATCTTGTTCTCAGGAGAGGTTGTAGCTCAGTTTAAGTTCACGGTGCTGCTGATGGCCAATGGGCCTCACAGAATCACCAACGGACCTTTAGACCCAGAGCTGTACAAGTCAGAGCATGAAGTTCAGGATCCAGAGCTAAAGGTAAGAATGATAATAACAATAATAAATATATATACAATAAGTCAATTTCATTAAACGTCTTGTTCATATCATGTCAAACTGTTGTCTCTTCTCTAGACTTTACTACAGAGCTCTGCAAGCCGCAAAACACAGAAGAAAAAGAAAAAGAAGGTAATATTTTATTATCAGTAGTAGTAGTAGTACATGCCAATGCATTTAAACCTGACTTCATAAGTTAATGTTTCAGATGGTGTGATTTGATATTGATATGGTAAACATCACAGTTTGGAAATATCAAAAATGACTGTATTTAGTGCTTGCTGACTGAGATGTTATTGTTGTGTAATTAAAGTGGTAAGTGCCCTGATTGTTTAGCAGTAGTTTGTGGACGGAGATGAACTCAAGGAAGACTCGTGTATGCTCATGCTGCGGTATTGTTTGGCCTGTTGGCGCTTTTGGCTGTGAAATGAAAAGGATATAATCAGGGTGCACATAAGTGGTCCGCAGGTGCGCATTCGCTGTCAAAATAAAAGACACGTCCCAGATAAGAAGTTGAAATGCGCGTTTGGGTACATACGATTTTCTGGAGGAGGACAGACATTTGTTTAGCACTCTTAAAAATATCAAAGAAGCAAACTCCTTTAAGCAATTACTTTAGTGTTCCTCCACCTCCAAAGAAATGTCAGAAGGAGTCCGAACCGCAAAAGAAGCACGTATTCTCGGAAAAGTGGTTGCAAGAGGTGAGCTGTCTTCCAACAAATGATGAACGCACAGAGATGTGGTGCAGAATATGGTGTGAAAATCCCACTCTAGCAGACAAAAACAGTGCCTTTAATATGTATGCAAACGTGCGTTGCAACTTCTTATCTGGTTTGCGTCTTTTATTTTGACAGCGAATCCACACCTGCGGACTAATTATGTGCACCACTGGATATAATGCTTTTAAAAGGTGTTATGGGTACATAATTGATCGGGGGGAATCTTATTGGTATGTGGTTGTTAGGCAACATAACGATGTCATGATATATATCGTTCAGCTTTTGTGGATCTGAATCGTTTACATAAAATTAAAATGATAGGATTCTTTCATAAGGTGTTGCGGGTGCATAAAAGCAACAAGTTCGGTAACTAGATCATAAGCCCTCATAATCGGGTCATTCCGAACAAATTTTGGAATATGGTAAGATGGGACTAAAATCTACAACAATGCCTCCTTTTACTGATTTACTTATTTCGTTTGATCTTTAAGGCCTCAAAGACAGCAGAAAACGCAAGTGGACAGCCAACTGAGGACACAGAAGCCGCAGAATGAAAACTGCCTTTCCACACATGCAAGACTCCAAAGAAATGCAAGAGAAAACATGACAAACTTCCCTGAACTCGCTGCCCATTCTCAACTCAGTATAGCCAATTAAACTGATCAATTCATAAGAGCATTGGCATCATATAAATATTTGACATTCCTATGTGAATTATTAACCCTTTACTGCATTCATGAAAAGGGTTACAGCACCGAGGATCCTACAGAATCTTTACAGGTGGTTTCAGTAAATTTGTTGCTGAATGTTAATTTTTCTTTTTAAATTTATAAATATATTAGTCCTTTTTACACTTGTATTGTTGGCAGCTGAAAACTTTATTTTTGAGTGGACTGGGGCTTACAAGTGGGCATTAATGGGAGTAAACTGGCATAAGGTTTGTGAATTATACCAACAGAAACTTGCATCATATTTGTTTAATGCGTCATATCATGTTGTGTGGGATTTGCCACATTTCTCTTTGGCAACAAAGTCATTTCAGGAGATGTGTTAACAGACTTTTACATTCATGTGGAAATCCAGAGGTTTGATTGGCCGCCTTTAAAGCTCACTTTAAGTGCTAATTTTTCATCCACTTGATTATTAAGACATTTCTTAACCACGCCATGCAGTAAAGGGTTAAATTATAATTTTATCTCTCATTAATTGTTACAATCTACAAATGATCTGACTGCAGGACCTGAGAAACACAGACATGCTTACAAATTGGTTTTTACTTAGATTTTATGTATTGGAGGTTTATTCTTCTATAATAATGACCGGAGTACATTTTTCGCTAAAGCTACGACGTTTTACCTACACTAGATTTTTAAAAGCAATAACAGAATTAGCAGAAGAGCAAATATTTTTAAGTATACTGGCAACAAAGTTGTAATCAGCTTGACCTAAGGGAACAAACTGCTACATTTACTGCCATTCCCCTTGAATTTTATGAAAAGAGAGAACTCTATAACTGTATGTTCCAGTTTAACGACAGGAAAAGGAAAAAAAAAAAAAAGAAAACTTTTCTATCAGTGATTTGCTTTACTACATCATTTGTCTCGTGAAGCATGACGGCTAAAGCTGATCAGGTTTTAGGTAAACTCTTCTGGGTGTCTTCAGAGGAGTTGGACCATGCAGATCATCTCTGGTCAGAGTTTGATTTTTGAGATCTGGGATAATGTTGGGTCACATTTGTCAACAGGTGAATATGTTGGAAATCGGAAAATCCTGCTTTGTAGCTCAGTCAGTGGGCAATGGACCTTTACATCTATGAAATAAAAAAACATTTTCATATACTTGTCTTTCATCATTTCTTCAGGGCAATGCTGTATTATGTCTAGTCTAAAGTATCAAGATCATCAGATTGTGTCCAAAAATTAGACGTTTTGTTTGTCCACTGTGAGCGACCATCTTTGAACAGAGGCGGGGGTTTACGACACCAACTCTCTGCCATCTATAATCCAGTTTTGAGATCCCTTCCCAGACGCCTTAACGCCCACTCACATCCTGGGCCAGCTGACCTCAGTTCGCATGATAAGGTGGGGCCAGGTTTCACAATGAGCTCACCCGAAACTCTGGCTGATTGGGACCCACACCCAGTTTCACACCTTGGCTCAGGCGATTAGAGGATCATCAGGGGGTCCTTTTGTCCCTCTGTGGGGGGTTACTCCCACTAGGTTTATATCTGTGACTCTCCACCATTTGACCTTAGAACTGAAGAAGCTTCTCGGATGAGAGGTGAAACGTCTTCAAGCAACTTAAAGAAGTCCAGATGCTTTTCTTTGCAAGCTCCTTTGACTACGATGACCTGGATGACTGAGAACCTTCACAGACATTTTGTCTTTTAATGTTTGTTTTAAGCTATGAAGCAAATACTGATATTAGCAGAAACTCAACACAAACTGTTCAAGAATCCTGTTTGAGACAGTTTTGTATCATGATGTGTTATTCTTCTGGAAGCTGGTGTCAGAAGATGGACATTGTCAAAAACAATACTCAGGTAGGCAGTGGTATTTAAACAATGCTCTGCTGATACTGAGGAGCCTGAAGTGTGCCAAGAAAATATCCACCATGCCATTACATCACAGGCAGCCTGAGCTGCTGATACACAACAGAACGAAGCTGTGCTTTTGTGTTGTTTATGCAAAGTACTGACCCTGCATCCTAAATATTGCATCAGTATTCGAGAACCATCAGATCTGATGATGTTGTTTCAATCTGCTGTTTCTAATGTTTGTTGAGTCTGTGCAAATTGTAACCTCAGTTTCCAGTTCTTAGCTGACAGGAGTGGGAATAAGTGTGGTTCTGCTGCTGTAGTCCGTCTGTTTCATGGTTTGAACTGCTCTTCTGCCGACCTTGATCGTAACAAGTGTTTATTTGAGTTACTATTTCCTTCATGTCAGCTTGAAGCAGTCTGACCTCTGACATCAACAGAACATGTTCCCCCAGGCAACTGCCGCTCACTGGATATTTGTGGATATTTTTGGACCATTCTGTGTAGGGCCTGGAAGTGGTTGTGTGGAAAAATCCCAGTAGTTCAACAGTTTCTTAAATACTCAGACCAGCCTGTCTAGCACCAAGAACTATGTTTAAATTCACTTAAATCACCTTTATTTAACTCAATGATAATCTAAAGTTAATTTGGTTTGATTTAGAAACGCACATATACTGGTTATTAGATTAATTTTTAAACACTTTCAAAATATACGTGTAAAACAGCTGGAATGAATGAAATATCCAGGTGAACTTCTAAAGGGACATTGAGATAAAACAGGATCTTCAAAGCAGGTTTGTGGCTATTTTGTGAAAAAGGTGTCAGAAAGGTCTACGAACAATGACCTGCACTTTTGGTGTTAGTCCACCATTGTGTATGAATATGTGTATTTCAATACACACACACACACACACACACACACACA